AATACTGCCGCCACAGTTTGTTATAAAAGCATTTGTGCCGCCTCGCTTGGTAGTAATATTACCACAATGCCAGACTTATGAATGCTTTTTATTCCTTGGCACAACCGAGGGGGTGTCATGATCACATTAACAGTTACTACCAAGTTCTGGCATTGTTAGCTCAATGTTAGCCTCTGGCCTGCTTCACCCAAAATTAGAGTGAAACAAAAAGATCCTGATAACTTCTGGGTGTTTGCTGGCTTTGGTTCTTTAAACAACTCTGGAGCTTTTTGGCTGCCGGTGTTGATTTACAAACATTTGCTCTGCAGGTGTGTAAACAAAGTGTAAACAGTATCTACATTTATTGTTTTGCTCTTTTCTTAAGAGAAAATTTGCCCCCCCCCCCCCCCCCCCCCCCCAGCCAGCTGACAATGAAATCTGTTTCAGTAAAACCTTCCTTCCAACATGATTGAGAAATCAGACTGTTTTGTGCTTATTTCGCAGTTATATTCTTACATATTGCTCCTTTAAAGTTATGTGCAGCTTGACCAAAAATATGACGTGGATTTCTGCATGTTGTGACCTTGATTGCTACTTAAATTTGACCTGGCTTGTTTTCCAGAACCGTCCAACCTACAGAACTCTGTGAGTCTGATTGTGTTAAAACTCCTTTGTTTTCAGACAGACTCAGCTCTGATACAGTGTCCAGTGTGATGAATGGCTGCACAGTAGCTTGGCAGTATGGGTGGCAGCTTCCCATTGTACTTGAGAGTCCATTTCTCATACATTCCTCTACATTCTCATTAAAACCTTCATCTCTTCCTCCTCCTTTCAAACCTGTTTTGCCTCTTTGGGATGATGTTAGTGTAATTAAGTCCTCTAGTTTGAAAACATATTGCCGGAAAGTTAGTGAACCAAGAATTAAGATCCTCGTATACAGTTTATGATTTTATCTAATCAGAGCATTTGAAGAACGTCACCACACTTCCTGCTTTTGGTTCACTGGGCCCAGATAAGCTTCTAGATCTTAGTTCTTAATTTGACGCTGTAATTAGATGACAAGGTACAGTTCACTGGGTCCTCCTCATGAGTCAGCAGAGTTTTCTTAGCCAAAGCCTCCCACCCCTGCTGACTGCAGGCGTTAAGTGGGGACAGCCGATTGTCCGAGGCTCATTCAGGGTTTTGTGTATCCAGCTCATCATCTGGTACATTTCCAGGAGGAGCCTGGACCACACACAGCACCACATTACAGTCACAGGGGCTTTTATGGAGGGGACTTGTTAGTGGGATAGACAGGGCCTTGGTGGGCTGTGTGAGCCAAATCAGCCTATTAAGGGCTCCACTTCTTTTCAGTGTAAAGGTTTAGAAAACACAGACGTGGCTGTTGAGCTAAATCATTATGATATGCCTTTGCTAAACTGATGACCTGTGAGAAGAATATGTAAGGAAATCTGAGAACAACAGCAGAATAAATACTTAAGATTTTTCAATTAAATGTTTTTTAGGGGTTATCGTGAAAGAATAGAGAATAAGTCTAATTATTTAATATTTGTCCATTTTTTCACTTCAAAATTAGATAAGTACACATAGAGTGTGTAGATTCAGTTGTAAGTTTTGTCCATCTTCATGATCTGCTGCTTTGAATTGTAATTCAGCATGGAATAGTGTGATGCAACTTTTAATAGTGGTTTTTGATGCCTCAAAGGGGATATGCTATGCAAAACTAACTGTTTGCAGTTTTTGTGTTGCTCTCATGAATTATATTCTTCTATGGGCCACTTCTTAATTGTCCCAAATTTGGATGTCACAATAAGGAAAATTAGCATATGCTGAGACAGCCCCCCCCCCCCCCCCCCCCCAACCCTGGCCCATTATAACTTTAAAAGAATTAAAATGTTTTCCTTTAACCCTTTGGTGCATAATGGTCACTACAGTGGACAGATACTCCAAATGGTTATTTATTTGTTTTTGCTATTAAGCACAGCTGTTGAGACTTTATTGCATTTGAGCCCCTCCATTTGGACTTCAGTAAGCCAAGCCAACATATTTCATGATCAGAATGCACATTGCCCACTGAAGTGGACATGTAATAAATTATTTGTAAATTATAAAATTTTACAAAAATATTTGTTGAAATTTGTTTCATTCACACCTAAAGATGAATGAAAAAAAAATGTTAAAAAAATCATGGTTGAAGATTTCATAATTCATGCATCAAAGGGTTAAACTTTTACTGAAATCCTTTGGTTCAGACTAATGTTAGTAAGTATTGTTTGTAGACTCACCAGCATTGTGTTGATTTCTTATAAGAAACTGCAGTATTTACTTTAACAAGCTAAGTCTAATCTGCACTTAATAAAACTTTTTCCCCATCTGTGTGAGTGAAGAAATCTCAGTAGATTAGCTCAAGGTGTCAAACGTATGACTCTGTCAGGCAGAAGCTAAAGTAATGGATGGCTGAGGCGCTAAGAGCTTGAGTCCGCTCTAATCTTACATAACTGAAACTAAACTCAGGACAAGAAAGTCCCTGCATAGTTTCATAGGAAAACAATTCTGTTTTGTTTCAGTTTTCCAGAGAAATTTTACACAAGAACTGGCCTCAACCCTGGAGACTTTATTTAAAATGCATTGTTTGGGACAAACCGGGGCCACATTATTCCTCCACTATGTCACCAGCGACTCCTCTCACCAGCACAGCTGCCATCCAGGTTGCTCTCAAAGCTTCACATCACTCGTAGGTAATGGCTCCTGATGTGAGTGCAGGATCGTATGCCTAATGGCTAATAGTCTTTTAGCAACTCCTATCTGATGTAATGGCGTGTAATGTGAACGTAATACCAGTGGAACTATTTATAGACCAGGAGACAACACTCACAGAGATGGTGTGTGTGTGTGTGTGTGTGTGTGTGTGTGTGTGTGTGTGTGTGTGTGTGTGTGTGTGCGTGTGTGCGTGTGTGCGTGCGTGCGTGCGTGTGCTGGCTGTTGGACATGCTCACACACGTTACTGTACATGCTCAGGTTTCTCTTTGTCTCACTGAGTTTATCTTAAGTCTGTCAAGATGTTTTAGTGTCTCTGTGAGGAATTTGTCTCATATGTGCAGAAGCTCTGGTGAAATTCTGCATTTTACTTGTGTTCAGTAGTTTAGGGTTATTTATCCCAAAGTGGTCATGTGTGAGTTAGCACGTCTGGGTGCCTGTGTGTCTGATGGATTGTGTGTGTGTGTGTGTGTGTATATTGTTGTTGCTTGAAGCTTTCAGTTTCTCCCTTGAGGCATTACATCACCAGGCGGTTATCCGACCTGAGTAATCAGTGTGGTTCAGTGGCTCTGCTCCTCTGTCCCAAAGAAAACGGTCCGAAACCATGAAATTATCTTTCTAGCTTGTGCGTGTGTGGTCATCTGACGTTCTTTCTTTCTTTTGTGAAGGCAGCAAACACAGAAGCATTACGTTGAAAGAAGTCAAGCTTTGAAACCTCAGACTCTCAGCGGATCTTTATCATCTGACTGTTGAGATTAGCACCCACAGTCAGGGATGTCCGCGTTCTTCTCTGGTCATTCATGCTGACTCTGTGTTAAAAAAGAACCAAGTAGAGCAGTTAGGAAAAACACAGAGTGAACGCACAAAAGATGACCTAGTAGATGCTCGTGGCTTTGTTGCGTTAAGAATTGGACGCTTAGAGCTAGCATTGAAACATTTTTATCTGTAAAGATAGGTTCACATACGCTCAGTCATTTCTTTGCATCTTTGGCATCAGAGTGACTTGCAGAGTTGATAGCTATATCCATTTTCCTTGTTATTTTCTTGTATGTTTTCCAGAAAAACTAGTTTCTTATTTTGTTGAAGTTAGAATAAAATCAATCAGTCAATACTGCAACATGTCTGCATGAAAAACCACTATGAAGTAACTTATCTCATCACAAAATGAAAAAAAGTGAGTTGCATTGATTTCAAATATCTGCAATACAAGGGATCTGTTAGTTTCCACAACCCACTTACCTTCATTCACTTTGGGTTTCATATTAATTTTAAAGCCAGTTGAGAAGCCTCGCCTGACTTCAGACTGTCTGGCTCAGTGTTGTTTTTGGATGATGAACCCAAAGACCTGGACAGAAGGTCTCGAAGATCCTTGGGCTTAGAACAACTGGTAAGAACCTTGACAGAGATTTTACAAGGATCCTGTTATCTCCATGGCTCCTTGAAGCACCAACGACAGCGGTTTAGGCTTTAAAATTACAATCAGGAGTTTTCAATTCAGTTTATTTATATAAATCATGACAAGAGTCATCTCAAGGCACTTCACAAAATAAAACATTCCAATTGAGTTCAGTGTATTTTGCCAGTTAAAAGTTTCCTATATAAGGAACCCACCAGATTGCATCAAGTCACTGACTTGTGTCAGAGACTTTACAGCAATTCACATACTAAACAAGCGTCAGTGGAGAGGAAAACTTCATCTTTACAGGAAGAAGCCTTCATGATTTTTTTAGAAATCTGTAACAGTGATGTTACCCTGTACTGTATAAGCCTGCTCCTGTCTCATAGAGTAACATCCAAATCAAAATATCCGCTCAGCATTAGCCAATAGCGTTAGACATCCGCTTATATACAGATGCCAGTCAGAGAGTGTGATGTTTGGGGACGGATGTAGATGGATTCAAAGTTGGCAACATTTGTTAAGGACGAGTCTTTCATTAACTTTAACAAACAATAATGTTCAAAAATAATTGTAAAACAATATGTTTCAGCTCTGCGCATTCGCCAACAAAAACCTGTCTTCCAGCCGTAATCATGGAAGTAGGGAGACGCTTAAGGTGCAGAGCATTTTTCTATCTCTAGTGATGCCATCTGAGTAAAAAAGCAGCGAGCGCGGACCGTTTCGCTGCCGCGAGTTGTCCTTTGGGGGAGGGGTCATTGAGTGTGGAGCGCTTCCCCTCCGTACATCTGTCTGTGTGTGTGTGTTTGTGTGTGTGTGTGGGGGGCGGGGGGGCTGGGGGGGGGGGGGGGGGTCTCGTAGGAGTGGCACTGGAATTTCAGCCATTCCTTTGTAGGGTAAACTGGGTCATTTAACCTTTTATTAATTTTTTTCATGAAACTTTCTAAATCTGAGATTAAAAAGGTGCGACAGAAAAATACTTCTGATTTCTAAAAGGTGGAGGATAAACGACTCACTGAATCAATTAGTAGCATAAAAATGGTCCGATCTCAGTAGTTAATGTAGCCTTTCATTCCAACGCCCGTGGAGCTCATCAGATTTAACTGTATTTAGCTTAAAGTTGCAATGACATATTTAGAAAAACAAATTGGCTTAAAAATTGTTCATGCCACTCAACAACATTCCAACATAGTATAGCTATAAATATGTTGTGGAAATAAAAAAAAAAGGTGTAAAAAAATGAACAGTGGTTCTCACATTTGTGTAAATATCTCAGCCAATTACACATTTTGGACCGAAAGCAACCATTCGCCCATCCAGTTGGTGGCCTCACATCCCTGGGGTCACCACTCATTACGCACTAACATGTTTAGCCACAGAACACCACTGGTGTGAGAGGGTCATGGCTCGACAACATCAGAGCAGGAGAAACAGCCGGCTGCTATCACTTCAACCTTAGAGCAAACTAAAAAAAAAAACAACATTTGAAGCCACGGAAAACTAAAAACGTTTGGACATAGAAAACGACGACTGGTTTCCACCGACATCGCAGGTTTCCGGCTCCGAGGGGAGGGATGAGTGTTCTGTGACCGTGTTTGCTTTCAAAACCTAGCTTGTTCTGTAGTTTTGTTACAACAGCTTTAAAGTTCTGTGCAAAGACCTGCCAGTAGAGCAGAATTACCTCCCCTCTGAAAAGATAAATTGGCCTCATTTAGCTCCAAGCTGACAAAATCAGGGCTGTAAAAATGCTTGTGCACAAACCTGTGGGTGACTTCGTGGTGGCCACTTACATCTTTAATGTGCTGCTTTACTCCTAGCAGCTGCCTACACTCTGTCCTGGTTTCCCTTCACCACTCTGCTTGTGCCAGTTTCATCTCTCGCCTGTTGCATTGGGGTTATGTAATCTATATTTCAACAGTATTATATTTGCAGCCAGCTTTTTGTGGAGTTGCGGGACTCTGTTCCGCTCTTGCTACATGTAATCGAACTGCTTGATATATTGTCATGTGAAGGAGTGACTGTGTTTACACAAGATCTGAAAAAAAACCTTAACTCTAAACAAGAACATGAGCTGAAACTGGGTTTGCTTTTCATCTGAATGTGTCACCTTATGCATGACCCTCTCCTTGATGCATGCAGCCTTCCTCGGGCTTTCCCACTGTTGCTGACAAACTCTGACTAAGGCCCTGGGAGTGTGTTTCTGGTCTGAGTGCTGTGGCGGCGAGGGGGTGGGCGGGCATGCAGCTGTGCAGGTCAGATATGTAGTTAACAGTGGACAGCATTCATACTCCACATTTTGCTGCAGTGTGTCACTAGACTGCGTCTCTCAGTTCCTGCTGCTTCCCACTCTTTTCTTTGCTTCTCACATCCATCTGTGTCAGTTTCTCCCTTGTCTCACACACACACACGCACACACACATGCACACACGTGCACCCTTCTCTTGCTTTTCTGTTCCCATGTTCCTCCCTTTCCAGAGTTTCTCTGTAAAAGTAAAGTTGGTTCTTGATCGCTTCTACTGATTTTACCTCTTTCCTGCTTGTCTGTGTGTTCTGCTCCTGATCGCAGCTCGCCCACATATGCACGTACCTCTCTCTCCCTGAATACCAAATAAAAAGCACGTTACTTCAAGCAGAACTTACTTACGGATTCTCCCCCCAGACAAACTGTGTTAAAGCTTTAGATCATCTCATGCTGTAATAAATACACTTGCAAGGCAGGAAAGGGGGCTGTGTGTGTGCAGGTGTGTGTCAGCAAAAGTCTCCACTTTTTTGCTCCAATGACAAAAAAGAAAAACTTTCATTTTGCTTTTTCTGTAAACGGTTTTCAAAGTTAAGCCACAGGAAGTGGAGGGAGGACTGCGGGGAGAGGGAGGAGAAAAAACATGCATGCAGGTCAGCAACCCCTCATTTAAAAACTTGGAGTCAAGAGAGGCAACAAACTTTTTCTCTCCTTCCTTTTTCTCCCTTCCCCCCATTCCCCACACCCTTCTCAAATGATCCCTCGTGCATCAAGCTCTAAAAAAGAAACTGAAGCTTCAGGAGGGCTGAGAAAGTTTGCTGTGTCTGTGCATGACTGTGCGTCTGTGTGTCTGCTGGAGTGTGTATCGCTCTCAGGGTGTGTGTATGCGTGTGTTTCTGTATGTGTGCTTAGGTCTGTGTGGGAATGATTACATCAGCCCGCTGCAGCTTTATGATTGGTTGTTGAGTGTGTGGTTTGATTCTGTGTGCCTTGGAGCCTGTGGCTCAGGCTGTAACCCTTTGTGAGGGGGAGGGAGAGGAAAGGAAAGAGAGGAAGAGCGATAGTTGTCAGACTGAGCCGGCTCTAGAAGCACTGCACTGTACCTGCTGCCATCCTACGCTGACTGTTTCTGTCCTGTGTGTGTGTGTGGATGAGAGACACACACACACACTGGCTTTTATTCACACAGATTGATCCTCATCTATTTTTATTTTTGACCAGCAGTCAGTTTGAGATTCAGAGACATGCTATTAGAAATGTTGTCAGCAGCTCAGCTGTAGGCTTTCAAAGTTCTACCTTCCTCTCTGGTGGAGAAAGGTCTGGAGAACAGCAAGATTTCCTGTCTTAGGGACAGTGTGTAACTGTGTGTGTGTGTGTGTGTGTGTGTGTGTGTGTGTGTGTGTGTGTGTGTGTGTGTGTGTGTGTGTGTGTGTGTGTGTGTGTGTGTGTGTGTGTGTGTGTGTGTGTGTGTGTGTGTTTGAGAGAGTTTGAGGAGCCAGACACACTCCAGAAATGCCTTCGCGTTCCCCAGACTGCTGCTTATTGCGTGCCGTGGAGGTAAGATCTCTCTCTCTCTCTCTTTGCGTTTCACTTCTTTCCTTGAGTATTTGTGTTCTTCTCATCTTTACAATGTGTGTGTTCCTCTTTGAAGTGCTGCCGTGCTTGACTGGAGGCAATACGTGTAATATGTTAATGCCTAAATGGGTCATTTTCACCTTTGTAGATTTAAGCAAAGCAACAAAACAAACGAAACGTTTTAACCTGCTCTGGTTTATTTGCTTTTTATCATAAGTAATGATTTTCTAAGAAAATGGAGACTTGATTTCTGAATTCTTTAATAATTTAGTCTGGTGTTTGCCTAACAAATGAAGAGAATATTTCACGCTGTTCTTTAATATCACAGCAGCTTGTACATATTACATATGAAGGCTTAGACGGAAATCTGGCTTGGGCCAACGAGGAAAGGATCTTCTGTAGGTTAAGCTGGCTGTTCTAGATCTTTTAGCCGGCCACTGGGTTTGTGATTTCCCAGATTTTCACCACATTTAGACACGTAAGAGAAGTCGATTTAGGACACTTAACCTCATGTTTGGGATATATTTTTTCTGTTGATGTTGGGGATGACGCGCTTTGGTGTATGATGCTGATTCTTCTCATATAGAAAGCTTTCTTTATTTTGAACGTCCAGTAATTGATGTTTTATCACTTTACAGCTTGTATTTTATAAAAATATATATTAGTGTTTGTGTGGTGCAGTCTATATTATTAACAAGTCCACAATTTATTTAAACGTTCTGTGCAAATTTACATAAGTGATCATGAAAAAGTTTTAAAGAGAATGTAAGCCCATGGTAAAGTTTATATATATATATATATATATATATATATATATATATATATATATATATATATGTAAAAAAATATGTGTGTGTGTGTGTGTACATATATATATATATATATGTGTGTGTGTGTGTGTGTGTGTATGTATATGAACACACATCAAATTATTTATTTGTTTTTGTTATTGTTCCAAACAAAGTTGTTGACTATAGAAGCTGTAATTGTGTGTGTATATTTAGCCCTTCAGGCTTTACAGTAAGCGTTGCCTGTTCTACATTATGGTATAATTGTTTCTGGGTCACACGAAAAAATTATCTAAAGAAGAATTCTCTGTGATTTCAAACACCACAATTACAACATATTCTTGAAAATCTGTTTTTCCCATTGTTTCCAGTAATGACAAGCCAGAGTATGTTTAGATCACAGGAAGCTATGTGACAAAGATCTTTTTTCTGTTTAAAGTTTGGTGAAAATTACTGACTTTACCCGCATTTCGGTTGGTTTAGAAAAAATCCTTTCAAACCTGAATTAAACCTAAAGACTGTTTCCTCTTTTACACCATCTTTGGTTATTTTAGCTAAACTCCCCTTTCTCCTGGTTAGATCGTAAAGATCTTCAGTGAAGATGGCATCGGTAAGGTTGTCGAGATCCCTGCTGACATGACAGCCAGAGACCTGTGCCAGCTCCTGGTGTATAAAAGCCACCTTGTGGATGACAACAAATGGTCGCTTGTTGAACACCACCCACTGTTGGGGCTAGGTAAGTCAGAGGCATAAACTGACACGTTAATCCACACAGAAACTCACATGCTTATGGGTGGGCTGAGACAGGGAATGTAATTACTGACAGGTGCATTCCTGGGAGTGTGCCTTGTGCATGCATGGATTCATGGCTCCATAGTTGGGTCTGCAGTGCAGGCGCATAGTCTCACGCAGGCATGAAAATAAGCACACACAGGGCTATAGTGTGCTATGTCTAACAGTGGCTGTGTGAGAAATGGCTGTCTGCTTCTGAAAGAGAATGAGCTTTATGCAAAGGAGCTCTGCAATAAAAATAATCTACTTTTTTTCTGATGAAATCAGAAATGCTATCTTTACCCACAGCCTCCATTGGATCATTGGACACTAGGGATGTGTATTGGTGAAACACTGGCGATGCGATACGTATCACGATATGCTGCGATACATTCAGCCAGACAATATTAGCGATTTTTTTAGACTGAAATTATTGTAGGAAAATTCAATAAACTGTCTAGATGTAACATGTTTAACATGAGATATCTGAACCATAATAGAGGGATTTACATTTCGATGGTGGAAACAAAACCCATTGCACACTGCTGCCAACTAGTGGTCGGCGTTTGAATTGCACCAAAATAAATAAAAATACAGAAATCTTTGCATGCAAATTCTTCCAAAAATTCGATACACAGCTTTTGAATATTGATGTAATATCGCAGGAAGAAATATAATGATATATTGCCATATCGATATTTTCTTACATCCCTTTTGAACACTATAGCCCTGCATGTGCTTATGCTGCTTTAAGAGTTTCAAATTAATTTAAATTAGAGATAGTTAAATGACAAGTTTGTAAGAATGTTTAGAGTATGTTTTGTTGAATGAGGCTGGTTTATACTGTACATTTTATTTAACAAATGTTTGCTGGAAGAAAAATGAAGAGTCTCAAATTGGAGGTCATAAGTTTGTTAAAGGAATTGCTCAGATCTTTTGACGTAAGGTTTAGATGAAAGGTCATGACTGAAGTTGCAGGCAGCTCTTTAGAGAAGCAGCACTTGTAAATGACCTGTGACTCTGTGCCTCTAAGCCCCGCCCTCTATTAGCATGTCTACAAGCCATCACACCATACTATAGATGTTTACGATGAGAACAGTCCTTGCCAGAACACTTCCTCAAAATGTTCTTGAGCCTCCTCAGATGGTAAATATGGTAGATGCCCTGTATTTGATATAACACCTTCTAGGGTTCTACATCCCCCCAAGGTGCTTTAGTCAGTCATTCACACATGTATTCACATGCTACAGCAGCCCTGGGGCGCACTGCCGAACAGTGGCCGATCCCTCCGACCACAACCAGCAGGCAAGGAGGGTGAAGTGCCTTGCCCAAGGACACAACAAATGTGACAGACTAAGCGGAGCTCGAACCTGCAACCTTCCTATTACAGGGCAAGGCATTTAACTTCTCTGCCACTATTGCCCGACGCCCAGCTCACAAAGCAAGAAGGAGAAGCCTCATCTACTGCCTTTTACAAGAAAAATGTCATTGAAGACCAGATTTGTTCATGTGCAGCAGGATAACCTGTTAAATTCATTTATTATTCGTTAGCGTAACAATAGCTAGCTTTAGAACGCTCATTACCTCTAGGCTTTATGTGATTCCTATTGACTTAACTTATCCTGATTGCTAAGATTATATAAGATCATTCAGTACACTTTAAAATTAGGGTCTCTTTAATCACGTTACTTAGTGCAGTGTTAAAAAGTAAAATTCCAGAAAGCCACTAAAGTGTTGCAGAGCCTAATGCCGCTGAATGAAGCGAGCAGCGAAAATGTCCGCACCTGTTTCATTCTGGAAACCTGGTTGAAAGCTGTTGGATAGTGTGTGTTTGAGGGCAAGCTGAGCAATGCTGAGTCAGTTAGCTCCTTTCACTCTGGCTCTCTTGTCTTGGCAGAACTTATCTCTGTTTCAACAAACTGAGGTTGTTCAGAGAGCTATCTGCAACACTTACTTTTTTTTCACACCGTTCTCACAAGAACACACTTTAAAAGATCTAGACGAGCTAAAAACACAAAATGTGACCAGTTCACTCTAAAATTCTTCAGACTGCTGTGGTGATAGAAGATACAAAACTTTCTGCCCAAAACATCTGGTTCAAAGGTTATTCCAGAAACTCCAAGTAGCATAAAAGGATTTTGTAATAAGATTAATTGTAATAATGCATTGTAGTAAAAAGAATGCAGGATAATTGCTGTGAAGTGTGTGATTTAGTTTTTTTAAAAGAATTACACAAGGGACCTGGAAAGGTTGCCAGCAGATGAGAGGCTGAGGGATGAGTGGGTGGTAATTGATGGTTTTGGCTCAGAGGATGCGATGTACCTGATGAACAGTACAGCCTAACCTTTCTCAGCTTTCGCGTCTCAGTGTCAGAGTTTGCGTAACATTGAGGATCTTGTGCTGTAATTGACACGTGTAAGAGGTGATGATTTATGGAAGGTCTGAAAACCATCACTTCTTTTCCACATTAGAGGTTTCTTTAGTTCTGCATTAAAGTCTGAAATTTGAAGCTTTCTCTGAACCAGACGTGAATCATTCAACCGACGTTTGCTAGAAGAAGTTCAAAAGTGCTTAACGGCTTTTTTTGAGCAAAGTCGCACTAGGAAGAATAGCAAAGAGGTCAAATTAGTTATTATTGTACAATATCCAAAATGTCCCATAATGGCACATTATTTATGTAACAAAGTGACACAATAAAAAGTACTAAAACATTACTCCTAAATATTTTCTCACCTTGCATTTATGTCAGGATGGCTGGCTGTAGAACGGAAAGTTTCACCCAACTTAAAGTACAAGAAAAGCAAAAAAAATAACTGCTTTAGAGAGCAATTATTAGCACTTAAGGAAGACAAGTTGAGCTTGTGCTCTGTGCTCATATAGTCTGCACAGTTCACCAGATGTTGGAAAGAAGAAGGGGTGTAATTTTACACAAAGCAGCGTCTCTGCCGGTGGAACTTACCGCAGGAAGAGACTCGGTGTAAAAACATTTCATTCCTGCTGTTTTAACCAACAACTTGTGTCAGTTTTTATTCATGTATTTGTTTTTCTTACGTGCAGGCTGTTAGGCTGTCAGGCCAGGAAACTTTTCTAAAATATATTGCATTATTCAAAGTACCGAGGTCCCAAAGCTCTAACCTAATATTTCACCATCCATCATCTGCTTACTTTTCCCATCGCTGCTGCCAGCTCGGTGCTGTCAAACACAGTTAGGCTGGCTTGTTGTGCATGACATCATGTTTTTTGTCTCAGTCTCTGTTTCTATTACAGGCCGTCTTCTATTATGAAGCACCTGTACTGCAACTGTGTTCTTTTCTCCTCTGGAATTACTACTCGTCGTATTTAGAGTGCCGAGGTTTCAGTAAATTACATGTAATGAAGCAGCAGCACGTTTATCCACAGCTAAAATTGAAAGTTTTTCTTCATATACTACAAAAAGCTTGTGTGTCCCACTGTAGCTCATTTATACCTCTACTTTTACCTAAAAGCACTTTTAACCTCAAGCTTTGCTGGTACTTTTGCCAATTAGACTAGTTGCTTTTGTTGTTTTTTTTTTAATTTAGTTTAGCCTTAAAAGTTGAGTTTTTATTCAAATGTGCAGTAAAAGGACACATATGTTATTGTGTTTTTGCAGTAAATGTAACTAGATATTTACAAAGGCTCAAATGAAGGTAAAGACTTTTTCCAGATGATGTAGTTTTGGTGAGATTTGAGGAAAGTGTAAATATATTCCTAAGAGCTCTACCTCTTTAACAGGATTAGTATTTTCTAGAAAAGAACCTAAGTACATTATTATTATCAAAGGGCCCTTATTGTTCTTCACCAGAGAATTTGTCTTTATTATTATGTTTCTTCTGCAGACTTTAATGCAGCTTGAACAGAAGCGTGCACCACCACAAATTGCACATCAAAACGAGCGGCCCGGCCGTGGGAGGTGTGCTATTACTTTTCCATGTATTTCGTTTTACCATGGCGAAATCATTAGCAAAGAACTTTGAAGAAAAGCTCATTTTAACTGTGCGCTACTGTAAATGTGTACACTAATCAATTAAATATGCACATAATTGATTAGTTAGATGGCAGGCCAACTAAAGAGGCATTTTTACCTATGCAGGAACACTGTTTTGGGCCTGCGGGCAGGTCCCTTTTAGAACCTGTTCAGGAATTCGCTACACGTTGCATCAAAACGATGCGTTTGCAACGGTGATGCTAACACTCGGCTATGGGAAGTGTGGTGTACATTTGGGTGATCGCTCCAACGTTACCCAAATATCATGATTTTAGATTTTTCACCCTAACATCACCCGCATCATTATTTGGCCTCTATAGCACAAGGTTAGGGTTAGGGTTTTGTCAGTAGGTCCCTTTTTAAAATTTCTTCAGGAATTTTCTAGTTTTTAGTCTTTTTGTAAAAATGTCATGAAATATTATTAGTTCAATGAGCTTTGTCAGGTATACATTTTTTATTTCACCTAGCTCATAAATACAAGCATTTAACAATTTAGAACAAAGAATAATAAGATCATTAAAAATAATAAAACAAATTTCCTAAACTACAAAACAATTGCAAATATATATTTCATTCTAGTCTATGTTCCCTGTTCTTCATTTGGTAGTCAGTGTTTAAGTCTCAGTGCACTTTCGATACACTGCTGGAAAAGGATGAATTGTCCCTTTGGGAGAAGTAATATTGACCTCTACTCGTCAGTTCAAAGAGGTTAACAGCTCTGGCAGAGGGAGTTAAGGCTGCCAGGGTGAGTCACACTCTCAGAGACGTCTGACTCATCAGGTGACGGGATGAAATGGAAAGAAACAGATTAGTCGTGACTACGTAAAGAGATTGTGACTGAGGGCAGCGAAAGGGAGGAGACGCTTTAAATTAAAAAGAGAAAATATCTGAGATAGAGGTGCTCTGTTATAGTTCACATATCCTAAATAAAATCGGCGTACCAGTCTTTATTTCAGTGTTCTGTGGAAGAAACGCCGTTGTTTGCGGATGACATGACAGAACATGAACAGCTGCTGGAGCTGACTGACTAATCTCAAAGTTTCTCATCAGTAAGATAAAAAAAGACACACTTCTGAGCACATTCGTGTTGAATCCCGGCTTTGTTTTGACTCACATGCTGAAGCGTTGGCCTTGATGTTAGCAGTCGCAGCTGCTTTGATTAGCATGAATCAATGAAAGCTGTGTGTGTAATTTAAGATTCTTTTAGACCACAAAGCAGATGAAGCCTGCGCTTTATTCCAACAGTTGTGACCCCCGCAGGCACCAGTTTGAATGTATTAAACCTAAAAGTGCATGTGGTTTGGTTAAGTGTGTGGTGAATATTTTCACAACACTGTATGACTGTGTTGCTTTATTTGCATTGGAAACAGGTGAGGATCTGCTTTAAAGGCTTCAGGAAGTTGTGATTTCTTTCAGTTTCATTATTTGGTTTTTCGTAATTTCCCTCCGTGACTTACAAGAAACGTTGGTGACTCAGCTGTTGTTTTTTAGGTAAATTACAGAATAATGTATAATCTTTGTTGATCGTTTTGATTCTGGTCAACCGTTTTAGTCCCTACATCTTACACGTGCCAAATTTAACTGAGGAAGGTAAAGTAATATCTTGTGAAAATTCTTCTAAATATGGGAATGTTTGAATAACAAAAATAAAATTCTATTGCCCCAACAAATAAATAAAGTAAAGGACACTAAATAAACAATTGAATGAATCTTCTGTTTTCTATTTGTCTCTATTCAGAGCGTTGCCTCGAAGATCATGAGTTGGTGGTTCAGGTCCAGGCCTTCATGAACAGCGACAGTAGATTTCTCTTCAGGAAGAACTACGCCAAATATGAATTCTTCAGAAACCCTCTGGTTAGTACGGTTCTCCTTATAACTTATTTGACAGCTTCTCATTGAAATACAGTTATAATTCCTGAGAAACATAATTTCAGCACGGCCCACTGAAGCACACAAAGCTGACATAATTGCATTAATTCCCTGTGTAATGTGACTTGTCATGACCGGCACGCTCCTTTCACAAAGCTTTTTGTGTGCTTGTGAAATATTATGACAGCCTACTGTAACGGTGACATTTGCGTGACATCTGCATCTGTCACAACCTCCCACGCCCTGTAATTACTGTCCCAGTTTCTTTGACATGTCACCTTCCTCCTCCACCAGACATTTTTCCCGGAGCACATGGTTGCGTGGTGCCAGGAAAGCGATCATACGATTCCACCCTCACAACTCCTTCAGGTACACACCTTTCCCTCATTGTCTGTCTTTGATTGTCACTTCTCCACCTCCTCCCTTTGACACACACACAGTTTAGTTTCCTTCCAAAGTCAGCACCTGCTGCGTACTGTACAATCAAGCTGGCATACCTCACCCCTGACCCTTAGACAGTATGTCTCGTCTGAGCCAGCTGTAATAACTACCGTCAGTCCCTTGTTGACACGTGACTGTCTCAGTGTGCACACCGCAGGCCGAGCAGCCGTGATGGATGGAGTCAAGCAATTCCAAACCAAAAAAATCCTTCCTGCATTAATTGAAGCCTGCACCAATTTGCTAATAGTCAGAAGTATCTGTCAGTTTGTATCTTTGCTGTTTTGAGGAGGTTTTTGTGCAGGTTTAGATCTCTCTGGTATCATTAAATGAATGTCAGAAAGGGAGCCACAACTGGGATCCGTCTGTCGCACTGAAAGCTTTTATCTCAGCCTTCCATCCGAGCGTATAGACGTGGCGCTGGACTTATATTGGGAGTAAGATGAATTGGATTCATGTCAGGAATTTCCACAGTTTGACTTATTCTAAACACAAGCGCTTTTCACCCAATTAGAGAGCCATCCAAGCCGGGGCGCTTGCCGAGCTCAGCTCATCCAGGTGTTTGCCATATTCCAGAGTTATGCAAGAGCCGTTTGTCAGCGCAAAGCCAAGCACATGACTGTGGAGCAGCCCAAAAGGAAAGCTGTTTGAATTATCATTGCGTGTGAATGTGCACTCTGGGAGCGTTGGAAAATGTATGAGGCCCCATCGTGATATTCTTTTTTTCTTCCTCTTTTCAAAACACAGAGGAACATGTGCTTCAAATATTGACGAGACTTCTGGAACAGTTTGTCTTTCGGCCGCAGATCACAGTTCCACATCAGATTTATTAACTGCCACTTTGTTTATTAACTTAATCTGCCATCCCATCTGGCCTCGACGAATTCAGGGCATGCCTCAATGCCACATTCCCTTAAAGGAAAGCATATACTGGTTTATGGATCACCTGCTCCTGAACCCCATGCAGGTTTCTGCTCAGATCCTCATAATGCTGACAAGATGTGAGCATGCTGCATCCAACACTTCTATGTTAGTAGTGGAACCTTCAAATATAAAGAATCGTCTTTGGTTGCAGAAACAATTCATGCATCCACTGTGTCTGGGTGCAGTTTATGTGTCAGATATGACAATTGGTGCACAAAGCCAAGCATAGCTGGAAGTTGCTAAAGCAAATCTGTCAATAAAGCAACCATCTGCAACTGTTGGTGACCAATTGGGGACATTAAAGTGCAAGAAAATCTGAATATTGTAATTGTAAACACACTGGTACATGTGAAACATTTATCAACTATGTTATTAATGGTGGATCATGGTTCCCAGACCTTTGTTTTGCGCTTAGGTCACCAAACCTTCCCAAGTTGTGTTCTCTCACTTTTTCCACCCACAGAAACATCAGTGAGGCTGAAAAATGTTAACACTTCCTTCCAAATGGCATTCACAGTTTTTCATCAGCAGTTGCAGCCCAGTGAGATACTCACTATCGACAACTATCAGATTTCTCTGCATTGTTGAAACATATCAAAGATGGAGCCTAAAGAACAGCAGGAATCATCTAAAACCAAGGCGGTGGTGATGGACTTTAGGAGGATCATGCCCTTTTGCGTCATGTACAGGGAGGTTGAAGAGCACCAAATATAGTTTTTTTTCTGTATGTGGTAATGAGTTTCCAGAAGGTGAAACTCTAGGACTAGAAAATCTTGACAGATCTACGTCACACTGTCACTTAACATTCATGGACTCACCCATCTTGACTCATGATGGGGAAGGCTGTTGTTGGTTTAGAGCAGGGTTTGAATTATGGGGGAGCTAAGGGTATCTAAGGGGAGCCCTCAACTTACATTCCCTTTCCTAGTTTCCCAGTTTAGCGTCCAGGAAACGTCAGAGAACGTCTCAACTAGTAGAAGCTAACTCATAGCATTAGCAACTCCACCACACAGCAGAACTTCTCCAGGCTTGTGTTATTTGTGAAGATAGCACATCCACGTTGCAAAGCTAACAGAGTCAGTAGTAGACTTGCGATGCTGTAAGACTTTACTAGCACAAAACACATGTTTGTACTTTTATTTCATGATCTTGATACTGTTTATTGCACGATAAGAAGAATTATCATAACTGTTCCTAAGCAGCTGTTCTTCAAAGCTTTCATCCAAAGGACGATCCGATTACACTCTTGTTCTTTGACAAACACAAATGTCTAGTCCCAAGTCCTTTGCAGAAGGTGTCTGCTGCAGCTTTGAATTCCTGGCTGTGATGGAGTTTGTGAGCTTCTGATGTAATCCATCATTGCCCTCCTGAGGCAGAGAGCCCTTCTACAAAAGGACAACATCTAGCAAACACTTATAAAATTATTATTTTCCTAACTTCCCATTTCTTTTTCAGAACTTCCTTTCAACCAGCAGTTGTCCAGAAATCCAGGGCCATTTGTACATGAAGGAGGTGGGGAGGAAGTCGTGGAAAAAGGTTTACATGTTCCTGCGTCGCTCAGGACTCTATTGTTCTACAAAGGGAACCTCAAAGGTAACATCAAGTCTATTTTCTACTCATGTATCTTCATAGAATAAACCTGTGTTCTCAGTGTGTTCATTTCTGCTGGTCAGTAAACCTTCAGCCAGCTTCTCGCTTTCATGTCTGGACTTATAAAGTATTTCTGTCTCCAGGAGCCTAGACATTTACAGCTACTAGCAGACCTGGAGGAAAGCAACATCTTCACTGTCACCCTAGGCAAAAAGCACCACGGTGCTCCCACAGACTACCATTTCTGTATCAAAGTGAGTCTCGGATAACACAAATGTGATGAAACTCTTCTCATGGCATTCTGAAACACTGACATGGGGTTGGCTCTTTAGTTCCTCATCTCGACGGAGGAATGTCAGCATTTATTTCTGTGGTTCTTTTGTAGTTTTGATGTCTTTTAAAAGCAGTAGGTGAACATTCAGGCTCTGATAAATGTACAGGAACAGATGTGGGTGACGAGGAAGAGTTTTTATTACTGTAATCTGATTATTTCAGCCCAATAAAACTAGAGGGGAGATGAAGGAGCTGAGAATGCTGTGTGCTGAGGACGAACAAAGCCGCACCTGTTGGATGACTGCCTTCCGACTCTTTAAGGTAACACCAAGCTTTATTATGTGTTCCTCACTGAGTCAGAAATGTGCTAAGGAAAGAAAAGGATTGCCATAAGACATTTACATTCTCACTGGAACACGTGCATTGTAAACTGGGCCACATTGTCAGTCTTGTATCCTTTTTTTTTCAGTATGGGATTGTGTTGTACCAGAATTATGGAGTTCCTCAACAAACAAAAACCTTACTTTCACACTTTTCAGCTCCTGTGGTGAGTTTTTGTCAGTGGATTAGTTGGACAGATGAAGGTGCCATCAATAAAGAGACAACTGTAATCAGAAATAGCGAGTGACAACTATGTGTCTCTGGCTCCCCCTAGAGGAGTGTGTCTGAAAACTCCCTTGTGGCGATGGACTTCTCAGGGAGGATAGGAAGGGTGATCGACAACCCGGTCGAGGCTCAGAGTGCTGCCATGGAGGAGGGACTCGTGTGGAGGGTGAGACAGATTTTATTTTTACATCATACAATTTGCATTTACAACTTTAGCATTTAGCATTTTTAAATGGAGAGCTCCTCAGTGCCCCAAAATGCACTTTAGTTAAAAAAAAAAAAACTGAAACAAGACTGAAAGAAAACTAAACATTCTTGTGATTTTTGTCATTTTTAACACAAAATCGAAAACTTGCTAAAAGTTTCTTGAACATTCTTGACTAAATACGGTATTTAGACTTTTCTTCATTGCAATCCTCAAAACAGGAACAGAAAAAAGCCCACAAGCTTTCAGGCAGTTTAAGCCATCAGTCCCATCAATTTATTTCATTTCCTTGAAAGTTCTAGAAAAATATAAATGATGTAATAATTTCTATCTTTGTGGAGAATAAACTGGGTCTACGTTTTTTTTTTTTTTTTTTACAATAGACAACAAATAAGTTCAAGTCTCCAAATGAAGATTACTAGGGTGTCCTGGATCAGGTTTTTTGCCCCCGAGTCCGAGTCATTTGATTTTGAAAATCTGCCGATACCGAGTCCCGATCCGATACTTTTGATACATAAAAACTAAAGAAAAGGAAGAAACAGTTCCAGAATGTTCCTTATTTTTATTTAATTACCTTTTTATTCTTATTTTTAACAACAGATCACTTCTGTGAGGTAGCTTGAACAATCATGTAATAAATAACATAAATTCTTCACTTTTGGACTTTGTTGCAAATATAAAAATTCTAATATAAAAACAGATAGCACTTCAGCTTAAAATACCTGGCAGGGGTCTACTTTGCCTCGGCCCCCAAAATGCTTAGATACGTCCCTGGGCAACTATATAAATACTACATGCTGATAAATTATTGCTTTATACAGGTACAAACGTGTAGTGGGATCAATCTACCTACATTTTATTTTTTTTAAGAACTTTGTTTTGTTTTCTTGGTTTTTATTTTCCTATCTTCCTGTCCTGTCTGTCTCTGATCTTCCTGCATCTCCCAGTCCTCCAGAAAAACTTCTGTCTGCTTCCTTCTTTTTCACCTCACAAGTAACTTTTTTAACTAGAAGATCAAATTGATCTATTGACCACAAAACAAGCGGAGTGTGCGCTGCTCTGCCCGGCTGCACCAGTGACGAGCGCTGCAGCGCGAGCGTGTCCACACGTCATGCTCAAATACAGACAGAACTTACCAGAGAGAAAATGAACAGACACGAATGACTGTGTGTTAATTATATATTTTTGGTGACGCCACTTAGAAACTTAGAAAATGTTACTGTGGCCGTGTGCAGAACACAGCTGGAGTTCATGAAGAATCAGCGGTCTGCCTGCCGCTCTGCATCTCTGCTCAAAAGAATCTCCGCTACTCTGAGTCCATATAAATAATATAATATAATATTATATAGGTAAAAACTGGATCTTTTTTGTGCTCCTTCTGGGTGTGGAAGTTAAGGGCATCAGGGGAGCCTGACAACCTTTAGGAGAACCAAGTTGCTCTCCTGTAATTTGAACCCAGTATCCAAGTCCGTATGGGGAAGTAAAGCCCGAGTCCCGATCAGTCTGAATACACGTGATCAGGGCCGATTTCTGATCATGTGATCGGATCGGGACATCCCTAAAGATTACAACAAACACACAAATCTAAAACAAATGACAGCCCATTGGAGCAAGATCATTAAGCTGCAATCGCAAACTTGGAAAACAAATTAGCGTAAAACATTCTTTCATGCCTCCCAACAACGTTCTAACCTTGTATAGCAATAAAGATTTTATGGAGATACAAGCAAGAAAGAAAGAAAGACACGTTTCGGACCAAAAGCAACTATTGTACCACCTGCTTCTCGGTCTCATTGAACCGCCACACTTTTCTGGGTCCTCCACTCATCACACACGTGTGTATTTAGCAACAGAACACCACTGGAACACCACTGGAGTGAGGTTCTCCACTCGATAATATCACAGGAGAAACAGCCGGCTGCTACCTCTTCAACTTTGGCACAAACTACCAGAGTCCCAAAAAGAAAAACACTGTTTGAAGTCGAGGTCTATTTTATATGTGTAGCACATTTTAAACAGCTGTTGCTGACTAAAGTGCTTCACAGCACAGAAAACATAAGAAGTTTGAACCTGGAACATGGTGACTGGTGTTTAGCACGTACTCGTTTCCTCTTGAAATGTAGGTGTCAGTTTCTGGCTAAAGAAACCTGAGGGGAGGGGTGAGTGTTCTGTATTTGCATTCAAAACTTAGCTTGTTCTGTAAATTTGCTGAAGCAGCTCGACAGTAAAGGGGGAAAAAAAGAATTTCACTGAAGCCTTTTTATTTATTTTCTTTAATAAACCAGTAAAGTCAGTTGAGGTAAATACGTTTTGAAAATTAAAGCATTATTATAAAGATTTAAAATATATCTAAAAGTATCTGTGTCTTTACATAATTTTCTAATTGCCACTTTTTATTTTAATTCTCATTTTAACTGCAAAAGCACCCACAGCATGTTGAGAAGGTATGTCTTAAGAAAATGCATGCAGTGACGGCCGTGGTTTTGTCTCTTTCAGAGGAAAACTCGAATGCACATATTAGGCTCCCACAGTCCCTTACACCACTCTTCACTAAACTCAGGTAAATCTCAACGCTCAGTGTGTCCACGCTGCAGCTTTCTGGAACGATTCATAAAAGGTGTTAACAGACGTGCTTTTGCTTTGAATCTGCAGTCATCCACATAGCCCAGCTGTGGTTCTACGGCAGGATAACCAGAGAGGAGTCCCATCGGATCATCCACCAGCAGGGACAAGTAGACGGGTGAGAGAGCTGAACCCACTTTTTGACTCCAGCAGAAATGTTGAATCACTTTTCTTTTTAGGTCATTCATTCTTTTTCTGTGAAGGTTGTTTCTGCTGAGAGTCAGTCAGAGTAACCCAAAGGCCTATGTGCTCACATTGTGCCATCACCAGAAGATCAAACACTTTCAGATTCTGCCGGTAAGCCTTTTACAGCATTTGTGCATTAATCATTTATTTAGTCACAGATTACCCAAGAAGCCAATAAAAAGCGTAATACAACTAGATTGAAAATAAAACAAAAATTCCAACTTTCCTATCTAAAACATTCTACCTTTTTGCTGTTTTTCTCCCACCATGCAATAATTGCCTCCATGGACTCTTCAATGGCCCCAGTGTGAAGAGGATGGTCAAGTCTTCTTTAGCCTCGACGACGGCGTGACGAAATTCACCGACCTGATTCAGCTGGTGGAGTTCTACCAGTTAAACCGAGGAGTTCTGCCTTGTAAACTCAAACACCCATGCACCGTTGTTGCCTTATGACATCTTTGGATAGTCTGACCCCGTGACCCCCGTGACACTTGACCTGACTCTGCCTGAATAAGCAAACAAAGAGAACCTCGCCGTGGGTTCTGATTGTTTTCTTTGTTCTTTTTCTTCCAAGAAGCTGGTGAATTGACTGATGTTTTTGTTGTTGTCATTTCTCATTGTGATTCTGCTGCAGACTGCTGGCTGGTTGGACGTTTTGCTTTTATTTGCATGGAGGTTTGAGGAACCTGATGCACAACTTGCTCGTGGGTTCTTCGGTTACGATAAGCGAAGGTTAAAAAAACCAACACTGCCACGTGTCTCAATGCTGTTGCGTGTAATCTTCATCATCATCATCAGTTATCCAGGGACCTTGAGGCTTCACCTCAGACTTGTTTCTCTCTTCGAGTAGACAATGAGCAGCACAGTCTGAGTTTTCACGTGGACCACTCGAGGCGTTCGAACTTTCTCTTTTGCATCATCAAAAGAGTAAATGGAGCGGGTTTTTTTCCCTCTTGGTTTAAGCTCATTGAGGTGTGTGTGTGTGTGTGTGTGTGTGTGTGTGTGTGTGTGTGTGGCCTTTGATGGTGCATGACCTCTTTACTGGTGCATTACTAAAACATGGTGCCACCTCATTTTACTGTCACAAACATCCCCAGTTGTCCAAAGCTGAACATGTTTGAACATCGCAAAGGCTCAGATGTTCCGTTGGTAAAGCATCTTTAAAACTCTCCTCTGTCAGTTTTTTAGAATGTAACCACACAAGGTTAATGATGCATAGTTTATATTTTTTATTTATTTGCAAAAATCTAAATTCTTCAGTTTTTACTGTCTTAAATACTTGCAACTCTCTGTCATTCACATCAGCTACAGCCAATTCTGTTTGTCACTTCATCTCCCTGAAGTATTTACCTGGCAACCTGCACAATTGAACTGAATTACAATGGAGAGAAACCGGCAACCTCAGGCTTATGCTGCAGTTTTATCCACTTTACTGCAGAGAAATCTGACAGTTGCACAAGATCAGGTCATGCCTCACCACTCATGGAATCATTTACTTCAAATGTTTTACTAAGTCATTAAGCAAAAAGTTGGTGTAGATTTAAATGTTTTTGTGAAACACCGCTGGACTTTCTTTCTTTTCAAGACATTTCACTTCATACTCAGAGTTTTCTCACGGAAAATCAAGATCTAAGAAAGCTCATTGGATAAGGAACACAGTAAATAATTAAGTCCAGTCGCCCTTTAAAACTTTCAAGCATTCATAGTATTGGCAGAAAATCGGCCTGTTGTATTTTTTATTGTTGTAGAGGAAGAAGATAGTCTCAGCAAAGGCTACATTTATCCATTTATGAATATAAATGTAAAAATAAATGTGATCGGCAAAATATGAGATTATATTTGTACAAATAAGTGTTTATTTATATATTTTTATTCCCCCCAAAGAAACACAGAGTAAACATTCTGCTGATGATGATTTGGTCAGATTAATAGGAAATGGACTCAGTGGCAGCAGTGACTTACTGTAATTACAGTAAATGGAAGATTTCTGTTCAGTCCAGCAGATTTGTTTTAATTTTTCATAAATAGAATCACCAAACCCAAACGCTAGCTAGATGTAAGTCAAAGCTGTAATCTCTTCTCCTCCTCATCATAATCAGGTAACACAAGCCATTGCCAGTGTTCAGGACACCCTGCTGTGAAATGTCTCATCACTCAGAACTTGTTTTTATTGTCTCTTTTTTCATATGTTCACTACATCAGAAACTTCTTGCTAATCCAAGTTTTTTGTTTGATTGTTATTGTGCAGGGCTTTTGCAGTTTGCTACATTTAGCTGATCAGCATTGAAATGATATATTTTCATGCATCAGCAGCCATCCTGTATGAACCAGCAGGTTTGTTTGTTTATCATCTGAAATGCAGAATAGCAGCACTATTTTGACTTTCTGTGCAAGGTTACCATAATTTATCTCCAATGCAATGACTTTTTTTGTTTTTATTTTATGATGCCGCAAATTGTATTTATTTATCTGGATGTGACTGATTACTTGAAAATTGAAGAATTTTGTATTTCTTTTCAGCGCTGTTCTATATTGTTTTTCTTGTCATCACCTTGGAATCATTGTGACAATTATCATTGTAATAACTCAGTCTACGTTCATTTTATTTTTATTCTCTCTGATATCTATATATATACACACACACACACACACACACACACACACACACATACATTTTATATATATATATATATATATATATATATATATATATATATATATATATATATATAAAACAATTGACCCACACTTCTTATGAAGTGGCGTTTAAGCACATGGACAGCATTAGTTCTCATTTTGTTGTTGTTTGATGACAAATGAATTTTTTTTTGAAAATTCAAACAAAAACAACAAAAAAGTATCAGCATTTTCCAGAACAAATTTTAGTGAATAGAAACCTTCTTTCCCCCCTCCCCCCCAGCTTAAATATGTAGTGGGCTACCATATCTATCCACTAAGTGGTGCACTAGAGCAGCAAAACCTTGGCATCTAAAACACGATCTAAATGTCATCAAATCTCCTAAATCTGACTTTTTTGCTACAAACTGGCTACAGGGACTGACAGGTACGTGCCAGTGGACTGGCTTCAGCTAAAAGATTATAGATCAGTGGAGGGAAAACTCAGGACTGTTTGGACTAGTACACACACACAAGCACACACACACAGAGCTATAACAGTGTGGAAGATAACATGCATTTTTATTAGCAACACATTAAAGACAATCAGGATGAATTACTTTTTCTGTAAGAACACTGAAAAGCCAGTGTACATTCTGCACAAGGACAACTCTTATTGTACATCAAATTTTCTCATAAGTTACCTTTTATCTTCATCAAACGCTGGAAACTAAATACCGAAATACCTTCTAATTTCCTGTGCACAAAAGAGTAGCATGTGGAATAAAATATTTTGAAATGCTTTCAAAACAAAAATGAAATAGACATAAATGTCCCCAACTGCATGCATTACAAACCTTTGGGAAAGCAAAATAAACACATTTACATTTCTTGGGCTGCTGAGTCAGTGTGAGATTAGAGTAAAATGAAGTCCAGCAAAGACAGAATTACTGGTTTTCTGTTGGTTCTTGTCCAGAGTCATGTCAACACAAGATAACATGTTTGTACAAAGGAAAACTATAAAGCTATGATGTATTTCAGGGAATGAAAAAAGAAAACATCTTTTTTGTAAAAAAGAGCTTCTGTATTCATAATGTGCTTTGCTTCAATCTGTAAATAGTTGGTCTTGTTACCTTTCCAGGTATTTTTGTAAAAATTAAAAAGATCCATTGACTTTAACCGCTTCACCTATTGTTTTGCCCTTCAAATGTTCCACTAGATGACGCAGTTTGTTCGAAGTTATGTTGAGATTTTAAACAGAGAACAATTTATATTTCACAGCTGCTTTAGCTAATTTACAGAACAAGCTAGGTTTTGAACGCAAGCACGGTTGCAGAACGCTCAACCCTACCCTCGGGCATCTTCCCTGAGACGCTTCTGCCAGAACCAGACACCCACTTTTTAAAAAGAAACCAGCACGTGCTAAACGCGAGTAACCGTTTTCTTGGTCCAAATCTCTTGTTTTCCGTGACTTCAAATTATGTTTTTCTTTTGGGAACTCTGGTAGTTTGTCCAAAAGTTGAAGTGGTAGCAGCCAGCTGTTTCTCCTCTGAGCGGAGAACCTCTCACACCAGTGGTGTTCTGGTGCTGAATATACGAGTGTGTAATGAGTGGATGACCCAGGGCCCCTGGGCCAGGGGAGTGCAGCAATCTTTCAAGACTGACAACCGGATGGTCCAGTAGCTTCTGTCGGTCCAAAAGGTCTTACTGGCGGAGGTTTTTACACAAATAGACACTTTATTATTATTATTATTATTGTTGTTTTTTAAGTTAATCTCCTTAATGTTGTACAGCTATACTATATTATGTTGTTAAGACACATTGTTAAGCTTTTTTTTTTTTCAAATTTGCCAATGCAGCTTTAAATAATATATATGAGAATCGATAGGATTTAACATTTATGTGACAAAGAAGAAAGTGAGTTAATGCGGGGTTTGCATCATAGCAACATTAGGAGGGGGTTCAACTACCAAGGTGGAGGTTAAAAGTAGAGGGTATTTGTAACCTCCCCCTCGCCAGATGGTATTCTAACATTCCCCTTGGGCGGCAAATACAAAAATTCACAGGCAGAATGCATGTGAAACAAGCGCTTGATTACAGTGAGAGTAACGCTTTGGGTAGCAAGAGGGTTAGGGTTAGGATGAGGGAGAGGGGAAGGTTATAAATAGTAAAACGTTAAAGTTTAGGTGCAGTTAAATGAGCTGGTTCGGTGCTGCATCAGCGGACATCCCATCGCGTCAGTTTTACGCTGCATTGGGATCTGCAGTCAGAAAAGGGAAAAACCCCTTTTCGCACGTGAGTGACGAAAAAGGGCACTTTTGGTGTCAGGGGTCTGACGCTGAGGGTGGATGATGAAGCGTTTATTTTTGACACGCTGGGAGTCAGAATGTGTTGTTCTTCACAACCAAATACTCATTTGGCTTCATTTGGCTTGCCATACACCAGAGGTTCTTTGACAAGCAACGATGAAGTGAAATGCTGCCCTCTTGTGGACATAAATCAGAACAACATCTTTATGGTAAACCAGTGAGAAGAGGAAATTTCTGGCTTCTTTTCTGCATCAAGGTGAAAAAAAGTTTAATATTCCCATGGGAATTTAATACGATGGAGCAAGAATAAACACGCAGCAGGAAACTTCTTTATTAAATTTATAAAAGTTATAAATTACAAATAACTTTCATCTACATGTTTTAATAAAACTCCTGTCACTTTGAAAGTAGCAACAGGGCAATTCACTCTAAAAAGTTATGCTTAATTATTTAGCTAAAACCCCAAGTAAGGATGCAGTTATGTAACAGTTTTAAACACAATTGTTGTGTGGAGTCAAAGTTTTGAACCCATCCAGCTACAGTTCTTCACAACCAGAGTTTCTTTGACTTTAAAGCAATGATGAGGTGAAATGCTGCCCTCTAGTGGAACTTATTAAGCACAACACCTTGATTATTCTGAACTACTGAGAAGAAAATATTTCTGCGTCATTTTCTGCATTAAGCTGGATAAAAAGCAGTTTATTGTCCTCTTGGAAGAATACATATGATAGCAAAAGAACAACACTCAGCAGGAACCTTCATTTATAAAATTGTAAAACATACATAATACAAACACTCATTTAACAAAAAAAAACTCTGGTATTTAGGAAGTAGCAACAAGGTAATTCACTCTTAAGAGATTATGTTTATTTATTTTAGCTGTAAAAACTAAATTAGGACTGTAGTCGTTTAATAGTGTTAAAAACAATAGTTGTGTGGAGTCAAAGCGTTTAACCTATCCAGCTACAGTTCGTCACAACCAGAGTTTCTTTGACTTTAAACCAGGGGTCGGCAACCTGTTCCCATCAAAGAGCCATTATTACCCGTTTCCCACAGTAAAGAAAACACTGGGAGCCACAGCAGCCGCGGCGTTGTGGGCGGGGCCTACCCTCAGACAGCAGAGAGCTGCTTTAACCAATCACAACAGGTGACAGCAGTCTGTACCAGTCGCTCGTGTACGTCAAAGATGTCTTTCATAAAAAAGTTAATCAATAAAACGATTTATATAAAGTGGATCCAGAAGTTGTAGCCAGTCTCTGCCTACAATGTTTTGATATTTTTCACCCTGGTGGTTTTACTGAGCAGGTGCCACTTTAGTCATACGTTTCTTTTTAAACCATGTTTAGACTGTTCAGAATACAAATCCAGGCTCTGTCACGTTTGATTGTTGTAATTAAACTTTGTAGGTGGGGAAGGTCAGAAAAGGATCCGATCATTTTGTTTTTACCTCATTTACAGTGACGGAGATAACGGCGCAGTGCGCCTGGCTCTGGTGTTAATCAAGTTAAATGTTATCTATTTTCACAAGAAAACAGAACAATTAAAAGCAGGGACGCATGCAGACGGACTGACATTTTATTCGTTATGCACATCGCAGATGTAGCTAAATCACTCATGAAAAGATTCCCATCTGAACATCTGGGCTGGACACCGCTCAGCGCAGCTCACTGTCAGCGCGTACGTAAGGTCCACAGCGAGCTGAAGATGTGGAGAGGGGCTTGGAGCGCGTCACAAAACCAGAGCGCATGCGGGAAGATTCCTCCGACTGAAGCGAGCGTTTTCCAAACCCTGTCTTTCAGCGAGACTTGTCACTTAGAAAATGTTCCCTGATTATGAAACTTTGGCTGAATAGCGTTTGTTCCTGTCTCCAATGTGGCGACGCATCCAGGAGCCGTATGAGGAGAATCCCAGAATCTCACATCCTCTTCAGCTCAGAAAGCGCCTATGATTACGCACAAGCGTGACGCGTCAACCCGGTCTCACAGTAAGACCGGGTTGGAACTGTTCAGGTTTACGCAGACAATCTTTACATTTAGAATTGGCATACAGATATAAAATTAATGTAGTAAAATATAAAGCATTTTATTTAAATATCAATTCATTATTTTACAAGCACAGAGAGCCGCATCAGATGGATGGAAGAGCCGCATGCGGCTCGCCGACCCCTGCTTTAAAGCAACGATGAGGTGAAATGCTGCTCTCTAGTGGACATAAACCAGAACTACACCATGTTTATGCTAAACTACAGGGAAGAGAATATTTCATCCTCCTTTTTCTAAATACAAAGGTTTGTTGTTCTTTTGGAAATATAAATATGAGGCAGCAAGAATAATGATGCAGCAGGAAACTTCATTTATAAAATTATAAATGTTATGAATTACAAACCTTACGTTTAATCTTTTAAATAAAACTTTGGCACTTTGCTAGAAGCAACCGGGTAATTCACTCTAAAAATATATGTTTATATAATTCAGCTAAAAACACCGATAAGACTTAAGTTATGTAAGAGTTTTAAACACAATGGTTGTGTGGGGTCAAAAGTGTTGAGCTACAGCTCTTCACTACCAGAGTTTCTTTGACTTTAAAGCAATGATGACGTTTTCAAAACGTAAAACATTTTACTAATTTTATCAATAATTTAAATATTAACTTAATAATCAAACTTATTCCCATCATGATTTTAATAATCATGTTTGGTCTAAAGGTGTCACAGATCATTCATCCGGATTATCCCAGGAGATGAGGAGAATGTCATTCAGCTGCTGTTGGAGACAAATCAGGACTTTTCTCTATTAGTAGCTTAAATTGAATTTGTTGAAAATTTGCAAGCATAATGTTTGAAGTGCAGGCATGCATGATAACAGATGTGTGATGTTAGCAAACTAAACGTTTTCATGTTTTTCTATCGTAAATTAAGAGTCAGACACTATAAGACATAAGACAAAGCCAATATTAAGCATCCCTAGTCTTTCGTCTAAAATTTGTTCAACATAATCTGACCTTATACCGTCCTTCGATATTGTACTTCAATTTTAATTCCTCTTTCGGAGGCTTTTGAACACGAAAGTTCATTTCAGTATCTTATCTGATCATAGAACTTTGTTCTTTTGGACAGAGGTCGCTGAAGTTTCCTTGGATCTCTTAGAACCCGTAGGGCCATGGCTCTGACGGAGGCCTTAGCTTTCCATAACATCTCGATGAACTCCTTTCACCCTTGGTATTTCTCAGTTTTCTTTTGCTCCTTCTTCTTGACTTGGCTGTCGCTTTAGATCAACCCTTTGCATTTTGTCGATCAGACTGTAACTCAACAGTTTCAAATATTGGCACATTGGAACAGTTAAAATACGTTGCTGTGCTACATCCATGTCTTATACCACACCTTCATACCTCTTTTTGTAAATTAACCTTGACAAAGAGCTTGACTAGATTTCACTCATGCTCAGTTTATTAGAGCTTGCAAACGGTGGGGATGATAATCACCCAATGATCTGTTGTCCTGGCTCTCTCTTACTTGGTTGTACTTCATCGGTTTCTAATCAGTGGTCGTAGACTCTTTTTGAAAACAATATTGGCCAATTGATAAACATCAAAAAAAAAAAAAGATAAAAACCAGTCTGAATGCGGAGTTGTTAGTATTCACATAATATGATTCTATGCCTGCTTTACAATAAATTTGTATTATTGTTCATTCAGTTTTAACTTCCTGCGTATGTCTCATGAATCAGTCTGCTTTGCATTGGCAAAGACCACCTTTCCTATTGGCTGGCCTCATGAGCGCTGTTGGAGTGGGGGTGGCATGAGCCAAGATAAAAGGAGCAAATGTCTCCTGTCCTGCTTACACATTCAGACACGCTCAACACGTGCCCGACTGGCTGTTTGTTTGCTTGTGGACGTGAAAGAGAAGGCAAGGAGACGCTGTTCAAAGAC